TAAAAGATGACTCTGCCTGCTATGTGGGTAATGGGCATGAGCGTCAGCAGGGAGCCCAGCTGGACGGCCCGCCTGTTACTGCTGCAGAGGACGGTTCTGGATGGAAGCAGCAGAGGAGAGAGAAGTGATTGGATTCCGTGGTGGTGCAGTTAAGAGGTGTCAGCAGTGATTCAGTGGAGAAGCACACATTTATGTACTTGTCTTAATTCCACAGTTGATTCAAGGTGGCTCCCTACAAGAACCCAAAAGAAGATGCATGAGTTATTTAAAAGTCAACACCAAGAATAATATAAATTTTAAAATGTTAAGACTGTGGTAAAGCTAGAACATTACGAGGCAAACTGGAATATGTGAAACATTTGGAGAAATGGAGTGTTTCAAATATATATTTATGTATGTCTGTTATTTAATATATATTTATATCTAATGTATTTCATATATGTATATTTATATTTATAGATTTAAAAATATTTAGGGGAGGCCAATTCAATTAGCTCAGTTGATTAGAGCACAGTGCACATAACACCAGGGTTGCTGGTTAGATCCCCACATGTGCCACTGAGCTGCACCCTCCAGAACTAGATTGAAAAAAATGAGTTTACCTGGAGCTGATGGGTCCTGGAAAAATGCACTGTTCCCCAATAAAATTTATTTTTAAAAAAATTTGTATATACAAATATATATCATTCATCTAAAACACACACACACACACACACACACATATAGATTCTATATATATATAGAGAGAGAGAGAGAGAGAGAGAGAGAGAGATTGATTAAGAAATTGGCTTAAGTGATGGTAGAGGCTGAAAACCTGTAGGGCAGGTAGGACACCAACTGGAAACCCGGAGAAGAGTTGGTGCTGAAGTTCACGCCTGAAGGCAGTCTGCTGTCACAGTTCCCTCCTCCTTGGGGGAGGTCAGGGTTTTCCTTTTTTTTTCTACTTAGGACTTGATTCTATTTAGGACTACCCACCCACATTATAGGAGAGTAATCCACTTTACTCAAGGTCTATTGATTTAAATATTAATCTCACCCAAAAAATACCTTCACAGAAACATCTAGAATGATGTTTCATCCAGGTGCCGTGGCCTAGCTAAGATGACTCGGAAAATGAACCTGCACACGAGGCCATAGCCCACATGGCCAGTCCCTGTTCTTACTTCATTCTGCCTAAGAAGGGAGATACTGGGGTGTCATGTGGGTTGTGGTTCAGATTCCACACAGAGACAGGACCAAAGTGAATTAATCTAAGATTTTCAAAGGTGAACTCAAAATCTACAGTCAGTAAGTGAATGTAAAAACCTCAGGAACCCAAGGAGATTCTACATTTCTGGGACAGAGAGGGTCCCTCCTGGGCCCCAAGGCAGAGGGGCTGCTGGGGTGCAGCTCTAAACAGAGTTGCCCCTTCCACCTGCAGGTCCCACAGCCCGACAGCCAACCTCAGTGACCTCACCTGAACTGGAAGTTTGGTTTTCTGCTCTTGGTTCTATATGAGCATTTGTGTGGGCTTCAAAGTGTGACACACAAGTTTCCTTGTACTATTTCTTTGATGGAGTTTGACCTCCACCCTTGGTGACTCTGACTTCCCTGCCTGGTCCCTGGAGGGAATGGACTGTCCTGACCACTTTTCAGTGTCTCCTTGTGTGGGAGGGATCAGTAGACTTGGAGTTAGGGGCTCCCCCATTTTCACCTTCCTCTCTAATGCAGAGTCCTTCACATTTTTGTTAGGGGGCGGGGTTCTTTGAAGTCTGCTGAATATCACTGTCTCATCTCCTGAAATAAAGGCGTATATGCACATAACGTTAACCCTTGTGTGCAATGCAAAGTGGGAGGTTCCTAGATGCCAGGTTAGGACTGACTGTATTTACACAGGGGTGGGGGTGGGACGGGTGGTGGGAGTGGGGGGGCTGATGTCCAGAGTGGGAGCCACAGGCGTCCTTCAGCCTTTCTCATTGGCATTTGTTTTCTTAGAGTTGGAGGAGTTTGCGCTCAAGGAGAAAGCCTTTGAAGAGGTGAGGAATATTCAGAGTGGGTGTGGGGAGGGGAAAAGGATGAGGAAATAGAGAAAAAGCAGAGTGGGGCTGGGCAGGAGGTGAAGAGAGTCCAGGAGGAAAGGGGCCTGGCCTGATGGCAGCAGGTCTGGAACCTGGAGCCTCACTGCCCAGAGTCCTGCAGCCCGTGAGGAATGGGGAGAGGCAGGACCTGCTATTGGCCNAGCCCTTGGGGGAGCCCACCCACCCCCATAATTCCTCCTTTCTTCACATCTGCTGTGATCTCTGACCACATCCTGTTTTCTTCTCCCCCAGGCGGTGACAGTGCCCAGGGCTCTGATGTGTCTCTCACGGCTTCTAAAGGTGAGACCCTGGAGGGCCTGAAGTGGGGAGGGTTGGGGCAGAGGGGACAGGACTGGGTAATGGGGATTCTTTGGGACATTTTGACCATGTGGTGGGCTGTTGAGAATGTCACCACTTCCAGCCACTAACCTGAATTTGTTCATGATTTTCTTTTACAGCGTGAGACAGCTGCCTTGTGGGGGACTGAGTGATGCAAGATGTGTTCATGCCCCACTTTGTGACTTCAGGAACCTCTGATCTCTCTTTCTGCAAAGGGCATCTGAATGTGTCTGCGTTCCTCTCAGCATCATGTGAGGAGGGGGGAGACTGCCTGCCCCCTGCCCTCCACACCCCCACCCTGCACTGACCGAGCCTCTTCCCTGACCCACTGTCCTGTTCCAGCAGAGGCTGTTTCTATCCCACTTTTACTTCATGTTACTCTGAATGGCAACTTCTTACTTCCTTTTGAAATAAGAATCTGGATGTGAATCTGTTTTTTCAGTTCTTGCCATGAAAGGTTGATGGGTTAATTGAAGGAGAAAATCCTAAATTTTGAGAGGAAATAAATGGAAGCACTGAGAACCTTCCAGAATCCGTGTGTTGGCTGTGCTGAGTCTATTGCAGGTGGAGACAGGAGAGGCTGTGAGGACCGAGCGTGGACGCGGCCTGAGCCCAGTTGGTGCTCAGTGCATCGTGGGCTGTGACGTCACTCCTCAGCTGGGTCACCTCTCTGCCCCTTTGTCCTTGTCCCTTCAGTAGAACCTTGTCCCACCAGGACCTGTGATCAAAGTGACTAGAAGATCACCCAGGTCTGGTCTTGTCTGAGGGCTTCGTGTGGCTCAGGCCTGGGCCCTGCCCTCAGCCCCTATCTTTTGGGTGTTCATTTGTTGTGTCTATAGAGGAATAGGACTGTTTTTGTTCTTGTTACGAGTCCTGGTCTCATTCTTCTCTGGGTGTCCCCTATCTGTCAGCAGCAGGAGGCATTTTGAAGAGGGTTCCCTAGGTGCTGGAAATGCTCCTTGATGTGGGTGATGTTTGTCCCAACGTTCACTTTGTGAACATCCACTGCACACTTATGATTTGTCCACCTCTTTCTATGGGTGTGTGAACCTAGAAATAAAAAGGCTTTCAAACTGAGAAGCAACAGCATTTGAGATTAAAACAAAAACATAAGTGTTTTGGGAAGCACTGATTCAGACAGAAGCCCCAATAATGTCCCAGTTAGGAAGCTAAGGCAATGGGTATTGATGAGAAAGGGAAGGGGAACAATTACATCAGTAGAAGGAAGGCGTTTCTATTGGTGCAGATAACAGAGTGATGCTAATTCTAAATAAAATTTTCAGTTCAGCGGTCAGAATAACTGCTTTCCTGTTATCTTTGCAAACAGATCTTTGAGACACAATGTTGCTTTAAGCCCAGAGTAAAGATTATTTGTGCTGTTTTAACATTTCAAACGTTTGAGGCATAAGATGTGCAAAGCAGTTCCTCTGGGATGGCAGCTCCTGCTCCATCTTAAAGTGGTTCTGTTTAATACTTTTTTGACATTTCTCCCATATTGGTTACCTTTCCTTCAAAGCATTGCTAACAAGTCACTGGAAAGCAGCACAGATCCCGTCATTAAAGCATCCTTGTTTTTCGGCTCATTTTGGGAATGTGAGGCCACTGTAGGCCTCTCCTTGCCAGGAAAACTCATTCCTGGTTTGTCATGACCCCGTGGGAGGGAAAGTGTTTTTGTTCTCAGGAGCTTTTGGCTACATTGGAGCAACAAGAGCACCAGCACAGAGGAAGCCTTTGCCACCGTGTTCCTTTAAGGGCAGACGTCTTCTGTAGTTTCTTGAGGTTTTTTATATAAAGTCTCACAGGCCTCAGTGATCATTTCAAAAACAGTGAGCAACTGTTATCAGAGTGGTGTTTTTATATCAAGACATGAAACTAACGATTTTAGAACAGCAAATATTTTATAATAAGAAATAACATGTTCAGTTCCATTTGAAGAATAGATTTGAACCAAGAGGCAATGCCTGAAGGCAGTTGGTTGAAGATTAAAAAGCCTTGAGGTGTCAGTGGGCCCTGGATTTACTCATTTGATTTGTCCCTGGATTTTACTTAGTTCTATTTTCCAGAGGTGTTTTACCCAAGTACAAGAGGTGTTAATAACAGAGCAAACCCCGCCTTGCTCAGCTAGGATGTGGTCAAGAGGAATTCTACTGCCTAATATAATTCACATGGGATTTTAAAGATTTTTCCTGGTCAGCTTTGTTTTAGTGGTAGCTACAGCAATTTCCTCCAAGGTTTTTGATACGTTGATAATCATGTATTTTTTCATTTTCATACCTGCCCAAGGTGTTCTTCCAAATCTGATGCCTTCATGGGGGCTGACCTGCCAGGCATGAAACGTCCTTGTCTGTGTGTGTAACTAGGGGCACATTTGGACTTGTGAAGTAGGTTTTTTTTTTTTTTTGAATTGGGGGAGGGAACAGCATTGGGAAATCGGGGAAGTGGAACAGACAA